ACTCACTAATATTGAGTTTAAAAGGTCTACTTTGTACTCATACTTTGAGTAATATTTACAACAGATACTTTCACTCTACTTGCACTACAGTTTTAGGCAAGTAATGGTACTTTTACTTAAGTAGGATTTACTTCAGTACTCTTTCCACCACTGGATATAATGCTTTTAGAGCACACTTCATTATTATTGTCCATTTATTAATTTGCTGGAAATTAGAACTGAATTTAGAAATTATTTTGAAACTAATTTTACGTTTAACAAACTAAATTATGAAATTAAATATGTAATGGATGACGCTATTGACACTTAGAGGAATGAAAGATGAGAATCTGATTAGTTTAATGCACGTTACTATATGCCCAAAAACACACCCATAACTTGTTAAAAGAACATAGGCAGCCCTTTTAGACCATTCTTTGGTGCACCAACTATTTTTCCCATCTTTAAATAGCAAAAGTGTTTTCAGACATGCCATGCACCTGCACTTTAGACCATGCACCAGTAGATCATTAAAATAGAGCCTATAATGTTCATGGCAAAAATATATTTCAGCTAAAAATATAGAGACCATATTACAGTAGGCAAAAGATTTATATTGCTGATGCTTCATTAGCTTTGGCAAAAGCAAAAGAAGGTTGCTGCTTTGAGCCCCGGCTGGGTCAGATGGCATATCTGTGTGGAGTTTGCATGTTGTCCCCGTGTTCACATAGGATTTTTCTGGGTGCTCCGCTTTCCCCAACAGTCCAAAGACATGGATTAAAATTAAATAAGCTTATGAATTAAATAAGCTAAATTGGCCGTAGTGTGGGGCCATGCAGGTCGCTGGTTAGAACCTTGGCTCAGTTGGTGTTTCTGTGTGGAGTTTGCATGTTCTCCCTGCCTTTGCGTGGGTTTAATCTGGGTGCTCCGGTTTCCCCCACAGTCCAAAGACATGCGGTACAGGTAAATTGGGTAGGCTAAATTGTCCGCAGTGTGTGTGAATGTGTGTGGTATGTTTCCCAGGGATGGGTTGCAGCTGGAAGGGCATCCGCTGCGTAAAAAACAAAACAAAACAAAAAACTTGCTGGATAGGTTGGCGGTTGCTGTGGCAACCCCGGATTAATAAAGGGACTAAACCGACAAGAAAATGAATAGATAAATGGCTGTAGTGTGGTGACGCAGTGGCGCAGTAGGTAGTTATGTCGCCTCACAGCAAGAAGGTCACTGGTTCGAGCTGGGTTAGTTGGCATTTGTGTGTGGAGTTTGCATGTTCTTCCCGCTTTCGCGTGGGTTTCCTCCGAGTGCTCCGGTTTCCCCCACAAGTCCAAAGACAAGCGGTACAAGTGAATTGTGCAAGCTAAAATTGCCTGTAGTGTATGCGTGTGAGTGTGATTGTATAAGAGTTTCCCAGTGAATAAGAGTTTCCCAGTGATGGGTTGCGGCTGGAAGAGCATCTGCTGCGTAAAACATATGTTGGATAAATTGGCGGTTCATTACATTGTGGCGACCCCAGATTAGTAAAGGGACTGAGCCAAAAATAAATTGAGTGAATGAAATTAATAGGTACTGTATATGGGTGTAAATGCAACAGTGTATATGGCCGGAAGGGCATCTGTTGCGTAAAACATATGCTGGATAAGTTGGCAGTTCATTCCGCTGTGGCAACCTAAGCCAAAAAGAAAATGAATGAATGAATGAAAGACAGCATTGGCTGGCAGAGGGCCTAGAAGGAGCTGCAACAGTTGAGACTGGTGCAGTCATGTACTGTATATGGCCCACCCACCTGTCGGTCAGGCCCAGTCATTGCTGGCTACAACAGAGATTGGTTTAATTACATCAATTGTCAGATGCCTTTATAAATACAGTGCTCAGCATAAATGAGTGCACGCTCTTTTGAAAATAAATGTTTTTATCCATTTCTCAGCAAATATAGCCAATCATTTCGGTGGATTTAAACAAAACAGTTTTATTTTAACAGTTTATTTAATATTATAAGCATTATAAAATCTGTAGGGATAAAAAATAATACATTTATATTAAAAAACACAAAAAAAATCAATAAAAAAATCTACTGCAAACTTTTACTAACATTTATATACTTTTATGTTTCACTTAATTTTTCCCATTTATCAAAATTTCATTTCATATTTTCCCCTAACATATTAATTTGGGTGTCCACATTTTTTATACTGTGATCTAAAGTTTTTAGATTAGTTGTTAGATTGATAGATTATTTTCAGTTTGGGCTTTAATACTGACTAATTTAACAAAGTATAACGTATACATTAAAATAGAGATCTGTAGGATTGTACTCATTTATGCTAAGCACTGTATGTATGTTCACATTAGGCTTTTTCTACCACTTTTTTATTTTATTATTAACATTTGTTCATCTAATGTGAGGTCATTGTAAAGTGCTACATGTTGTACTTCATAATCCTTTTGCAGTTTATTTAGGTTGAAACATTTGTTTCATCTGAACATGCATATACAATAGAGCAGGGCAGCTCAACCCTGCTCCTGGAGATCTACCGTTCTGAAGAGTTCAGCTCCATCCCTGATCAAACACACCTGAACCAATTAATTAAGACCTAAACGGCACTTGATAATTACAGGCAGGTGTGTTTGACATGAATTGCAACTGAAACCTGTAAGATGGTAGATCTCCAGATACAAGGTTGGACACCCAATAGAGCAATGCAGTAAATATTGTTGTTATTAGTTAACTACTTTTGTTCAGCTTAGGTCAATTTTGTGCTAACACTGTTTATCGCATGATAAATGCTTCATCTTTTAATCGCAGCAAGAATATTCAACTCTATCATAAGCCTACTTTACATAGTGACTGCCACTGTACTATTCACTACTGTCCTGATGATTTACTGTAATGATGGTGTTTTTTTTTTGTTTTTTTTTTGCATCTGTCAGATGTGTGTATGTGCGGTGTGGTCGCCATGCTATTTCTGTTCTTAACACTGCTTATGATGACATACAGGCTTATGCTGTGATTAAGCGGTGGCGTGTATTTAAGCAGGTGTAGTTGTGTTGGCATATTTTGATAACAGATGCATTTTAGGCTTGGCTCAGCCAAATTTATTTGGGCCCACCCACATTGTGAGTCCTGGCTATGCTAGTGCCGTGATGGGAGGAATAAATGGGCGTTTAATGAGAATACTCTGGAGTAATGGAAGAAACTTTGTTGTGGGTACTACAAGACTGCAGTACTATTTCTGAAATTCCAACAGTAAACAAGGAAACACCAATTAATAATCAATCAATTCAACAGTTGGGTGGCACAGTGGCTCAGTGAATAACACTGTCACCTAACAGCAAGAAGGCTGCTGGTTTAAGTCCTGGCTGGGCCATTTGTTTGCATAGAGTGTGCATGTTCTCCCAGTGTTTCCGTAGGTTTTCTCCTGGTGCTCTGGGTTACCCCACAGTCCAAAGACATGCACCATAGTGAACTGAATAAACAAAATTGGCTGTAGTGTAGTGTGTGTGTGTGTGTGTGTGTGTGTGAGAGAGAGAGAGAATGTGGGTGTATGGGTGTTTCTCAGTACTGGGTTGCAGGTGGAACGGCATCCGCTTTGCAAAGCATATGCCGGAATATTTGGCAATTTATTTCACGGTGGCAACCTCTGAAATAGAGACTAAGCCGAAGGAAAATAAATGAATGAATGGTATTCAGCAGTCCCATGAGACTAATTTCTAAATCACCTTAAAAGCAATTTATTTCAATCGAAAAAAAATCTTATTGGTGTCAAGATCATAAAAGTCCACAATGTGACATACATTTCAACGATACTAAACAACAAAAATTTAAATATTAAATGACAGCAGGACTGCATCTCCTGTTAGCTTGGCAGTGATTAATTTCTGAATGAATCTCCATTTGTAATAAATTAAGATTACGATTGATTACATTGCCTTTTCACAAAGACAGACTATAGATTCCTGTATGAATTCATCATTGGAATTCATTAAACCATCAAATGCCTCTAATATTTACTTATTAGACATTCACTGTCAGCTACTTTTTTATTTCTATTTAGATATTTATATTTTCAGTTTCACATTTCGGTCAAATATGAATAAAAAGCTTTTAAATCTTTAATTTATCCGTAAAATTTTTCCATATTTTAGTCAATTTGAGTTTGTAATAACACTTTAAGATAAACGTCTTTATTTTGTAAAACATTAGATTGTTTTGTGAAGAATGTTGCAGTAAACATTGTTTAAATAAATATATCTAAAAACAGGCGACGCAGTGGCGCAGTAGGTAGTGCTGTTGCATCACAGCAAGAAGGGCGCTGGTTCGAGCCTCGGCTGGGTCAGTTTCCCCCACAGTCCAAAGACATGTTACATGTGAATTGGGTAGGCTAAATTGTCCGTAGTGTATGAGTGAATGAGTGTGTGTGAATGTTCCCCATAGATGGGTTGCAGCTAGAAAGGCATCCACTGCGTAAAACGTGCTGGATAAGTTAGTGGTGGTTCATTCCGCTGTGGCGATCACAGATTAATAAAGGGACTAAGCCTAAAAGAAAATGAATGATTGAATGAATAAATATCTAAAAACAATCGTGGCTACTTTAGTCTAAATGTTTGTTGTGAAATAAACTACTAATGTCTGATATACATTTAAAACATGACTTTTTGTTGAAATTTCTCAATCCAATTGAATTTATGAATAGTCAGATCAGTTCATCTCCGCATCGTTAAGTAGATAACACGTTTTAATCGACTGACAGTTCTATCTGAAATATACATTTAATTTATAACCCTGAATGCATCTAATCTTAAATCAGGGTGGTCAGACTCCCCTTAAACAGCTCCAATAACTCGATTTAATCTTCAGTCTGTTGAAATCTAAAGTAGCCATCCAGATATGCAGAACGCGCCTAAAATGTGTCCGTTTAAGTGTCGAGCGTGCTGTAGTGCGTCTCAGTGTGTGTCTTTAAGTAGTACGCTGCGGTAGGAGGAGTTGTAGCGATTGTGACGCCGCCAGCGGAGCCGTGGTGCTGAGCTGAACAGCGCCTGTCCACCTGCAGTAGGGCGCGAGACCGACCGGGACAATATTCTCTCGCATCGCTCAGCGGAACCTGCTACCGACAGCACATCTCACAGGAATTATCTGCACGTTTGTGAATAACAAACATCTGCCTCCTTCGCTGATGGCCAAAATGAAAACCGGCTGCGCGATTCTTGTGGCGTGTGCCTTAGTTGTGGGCACATCTTTGGTAAGACTAAATGTTTTATTTACAAACATTCCTGAAGTAATAGGCTACTACTTAAAATCAAATTCTAGTAAGCTGATTGTTTGGTGGAGTGCACTTGTGTAGGTGAATTTATGTCGGTAGGCGACTTACTCAAAGAACAGTAGTGGTGCATCGAGCGCTTAAATACTTTGTGTGTTTGGAAATCCAAAATTGCTGTCGTAGCACTTATATAATAGTCGCTTTTTCTGTCAAATAGCGTTCCAACAAGTACATCAGTTTGTGGTGAACACTAGTCGTCTATCTGTAAGCTGCAGTGGCTTGCAGCTGCACTTTTAACACACATTGCAGAGGATGCGGCGATGCCTGTGGTGTGTCTGCGAGTAATAGTGCTGCTCTGTCCTTACCGGAGGAATATGCGAATATGCAAATCGATTTAATATTAATATGCATGCTAAGGAATATTCATGCTCCTATTCATAACATCAGGGATAATTTAACTTGTAGGGTTGCTTTAGAGTCAGCGATGCACATTTCTCTCCCTCTCTCCAGAAACAATACGAGTAGAAGAAGCCCTGTACATGAAATCTAAAAGGTGCTGGAGTGTTAAGTAAATATAAGTTCTGCAAATAAGACACATATTGCCGTTGAACGTGGTGGATATTGACATTCACTTTGATGACTCATTCAGAATAAAAATCTATCCAGCTGGGGGTGAAATGTAGCTATAGAGATGCATTCACATGGTGGGCAGAGGCAGCGATGCTTTAGAAAGTAACCATCTCACAGCCCTCTGACTAATGTGATCTGTAGGGATGCTTTGACAGAGACTGTTCCTCTGTGGATATATGAAAGAGCTTAGTGCGTCGCTTCTTTGTTGTCTTGATATTTCAGGTTCAGAGTTGTCTGGGAGGGAAAAAAATGCAGGGAGAGGAAAAGATAGAGACCCTTAAAGGCAACCTCTCATTCGGTTTTAGACACATCCGAGGCCTGAGCTTGAACCCTAGATCGCTTTAGAAAAGACCACCATACTGAGACTGGGATAACCTGAATATGACCCACCATCTAATTATGCAAAATCTCCGTGGTGAGCACTATCCATTGATGCATACACACATTCTCTCTCTCTCTCTCTCTCTCTCTCTCTCTCTCTCTCTCTCACACACACACACACACACACACACACACACTAGGTCACTCTCCTAAAATAGATGCCACTGTAATGGGCACAATTTCTCCACTGATTTACATGGCAGATCTCCAGCGCAACCTTCTTTCCTCTGCACTTCCTGTTTTCCGTCGCATCCCTGTTTTCACCCTCAGTTTATTTTAATCATCAAACAGGCTCGTTTAGCTCTTGTTAAATTTTTAGAGAAGCTCTTGATGTTTTCACTTTTTTTGAAAACCACCATTAAAACCATGCAGGCATTCTGAATGGGAATTAAATCACAGATTTGCCGCCTTTGATTTAGAATTTGTCAATTTACATATTTGCATAGAAGTATTGAATATTCAAACACTCCACTGGATAACAGCAGAGTAGGGATTCGCAACATGCACTCCAGAGGGTATTTAACCAGGTTATAGGAGGTACTTATAGTGTATTTGATGTAATGACTGTATAATGAATGTGTAACTACCTTTATTTACAATGTTTACCTAATTTACAGATAATTATTTAACTAATCTTAGTTAAATAATTTATCATTAATTTATATAGGCCTATACAGATTATATATAATTTGTATATATTTTTTTCTCACAATAATTTTAAGAATTAAAGAAAATTAATTAAAAAAACAAATATGTTAACATGTTTAGTGACATTATTTACAATAAACTGAAATAATTTAAACTGAAATTAATTCATTTTTTATGCACTTACAGCATTTACTAATGCATTTTTTTAAGTCAACAGCTGTACATGTTAATATTAGTTAAGTGACCTTAGGTAAATTAACTATCAATCAACAGTTGTATAATTTGTTAACTAAAACAGACAAAGATATCAGTAAATACGGCAAACATTGTCATATTAACTGCTAATTAATGTTAGTAAATGCATTCACTTACATTAACTAATGGAACCTTATTATACTGTAAGGTATTGCATTTTATTCACATGTATTTATAAAACGGTAAATATCAAGTTACATGATTTTGGTTTGATGAAAAAAGTTACTTGAACCTCACTGAAAGTGACGTAGATGGTACAGTGCATAAGGCAAAAAGCAACGCTTCCATCTAGGTGGGTGTCATGAGCGTATACACATTACTAATCATCAAGAGCTACAGTTGGCGCATGTCTGCTTTTAATAAAATTCTCAAAGCCAGTGTCTCCTACTGATCACAATCAATGTGCATATTATTCGGCTTTGGCTTGACCCGGATGAAAGTGACGTAGATGGTACAGTACATAAGCCTTGGAGCACTATAGAATAGCTATTCAACCCTAACAGTAAAATTGTGGCATCCCTGCTCTGTGATTTTGCCTCCTGTAGGTATTTATATCGGTTTCGATAACCGTGAATAATAACTACAGCCCTGTGGTCACAAATCAATTTGCCTAACCACTTCCCCTCTCTAGTGTCTTCATAGCCAATAATGTCTGTCTTTCTCAGGGGAGTCACTGGAACGCTCAGACGGTTGCTCCATGCAGACCTGGCTTCTCCCAGAGCTTCTACACCGTATTTGTCCCCAGGGTTGTGCTGCAAGGCCTGAACATCCACAAAGGTAAGAGCTTGCAGTGCATTGCACAATTCGGTGCTGGTTTATATGTGTGTGTGTGTGTTAATCTCAGTGGAGGTTTAGCAACAGGTTTGTGGGTGAACACAAATGCTCGTGTATCACTTCCTCTCCCTTTTTCTGTGTGTGTAGGCTAAATGCAATATGTTGAATATCATTTCAGCTTGATTTTTGCATTTTTTTGGAGAAAATGCACAATAGCTTTTACCTTTTCAGTAATTTAGTAGTTGGGCTTACTGTATGATCCCTCAAGATGTGTTGGAACCAGTTTCAGCTGGCTTCAAAAGAAAAGCACAGTGTGGAATAACAAGCACAAATAAACGGTTTAAAAAGGAGGAGCGGAGATGCAGATATGCCGGCATGCTGAATGTTGATAGTACACGCAGGACCAGTAATGCAATTAGAACACGTTTAAAACACACAATGCTTCTCCAATGCAATTTTCAAGGTCTGCGAAATGTCAGGTGATGCATTTAAAGACTCACATCCGCGATGTGCCAAAAGCAACGCTTCCATCTAGGTGGGTGTCATAAGCGTATACGCATTCTTAATCATCAAGAGCTACAGTTGGCGCACGTCTGCTTTAATAAAATTCTCAAAGCCAGTGTCTCCTACTGATCACAATCAATATGCATATTATTCAGCTTTAGTTTGACTATCAGACAAACCTTGGCTGGATGATTAAAAACATAAATAAATAAAAAACGGAAAGAAACCCATAATCTGAATTTAATGGATAGTTCAGTGGCCCGGCTGGCTACAGAAACCTCATTTAAATCTTCTGTTCAGCTCCCGCTGGGTGTTTTTGCCGCTTTGAGCCTTAAGCTTTTGCTTTTTTTTTCTGTCGCTCCCCCTCTGTCCTGCGTGTAATACAGTTCCTCTATTCTTTTCCACTTCTTTTCAGCAAGATTTCAGCCGTCCTTTTATTCCGTCGCTTTTCATTGCCATTGTGCATGCATGTGTGTGCGTTATGCAAGGATATGCTTTATCTGTGGAATTTGTTTTGCTGTTATGGAAGGAGAAAAGATGTCGCGGGTAAAATTGGACTTGCAGAAACAAATCATGCAGGAAAATGGCACATTGATTCGATCAATTACCTGTTTTTTTTTTCTTCCCCCTCTGCATTCAAACTTTGATTGAGTAGAACTGTTATCAGGGTAATCAATGGTTTTATTCACATGAATGTGGTTGTTTAAAGTGAGATGTATTTGTTGTTTTTAGGATAGCTGCAACTTTTACATCAGTATAGAAAACTCTATAGAAAGTCCATTTAAAAATCTTTGTGGTAATTGCAGAAATTGGGGTGCGTTCACACTTGTGAATGGATTCTGATGTGATTGCTTTTTTAATGCAGCTGATTGTGCGTGAATGCTGGCATCTAAACACTGGGAAGTTGGTCCTTGTTCTGCTTTCAGATGAATTGGTGCTGTTCTACTGAAATATGACACAACACAGACAAAAGACCTCTAAATGAAACCAAAATGAGGCATGATGTCTTGACAAAAGCTCTACTTGAATGTGTCTGATTACTCAACATTTGTGATTCCACATATTGATTTGGATCAGACTAACATGTCCCTGTTTATTAAAGTGAGGGGTTTGTCTGGGCATTCCAGAGTCAATAACAATAACTTTAATAACAATAATTGGTCATTTTGGTTGCGTTAGTTTTATTACAACAGTTTTATTTTTGCCATTTATTTGTATTCCACTTCACTTTTTATGCAACAGAAGCATGTGATGTGAATTTGGTTACCACAGTAGTTTCAAAAATACGTTATGTGCACCATTTACTTTGTGCATACAGGTAGCAGGTGCGCATTTTTTTTATTGCAGTAATTTGTTTATTCACCAGGCGGCTCCTTGAGGGTGTTTATGTGTTATCAAAGTAAACTTTGGGCTTTAGGCTCTGTATGGCAGATTTGGATGGGATTAAACAAAATATGTATGTTAAAATGCTTTTTTTCCTACTGACACCATGGAAGACTAGCCCTTAAAACAGTGTTAAAATTTCAGCTTTACCCATTACAATACAGGTCCAAAACCTATACTTTAATGGATAAAGCTGCAACTTTAACAATATTTTTGGGGCTCCATTCAATTGCATCAGGGATTCATGGCACTGTTTCGACTCCTTATACATTTTATTGACTTTTCATGAGTTACCAAGTGATAAAGATATTTTTTTAAATGTTGTATGTATACACATGGGTGTTCAGTCACAGCACAAAGCTGTTTGGGACATTATGTCAACAATGTAAATTCTAAAAGCCTTGTTTTTCGGTCACACTTTATTATAATAATACTATTCTTACTTTTATCAAACAATTAACTATGCCTTTTAGCTCAATAAACTCCTAATCTTAATTTCGCGCGGCATCAAAACCACGTGATTAAAAACAACCTGTTGACTAATACTGTATGCAAATGTTTATATTTACAATACATTTTATTACATTTTATTACATGATACATTTTATTGTAACAAATTCATTTATCTCTGTGATTTAGTAGATATATTAAATGAGAGCTTTACTAAACAAATGGATCTAATTTGATTTGTATTTTAAACCTTAAATAACAGTTAAAAAGTTGTTTTTTATTTCATATTTCAAGTTTTTAGTTACTATATTATGCCAAAATCATTATGCATAAATCTGCATATTTATTTATTTATTTTTATTTTTACAAACTTTTGCTCAGTAATAACAAAACAAAGTAGGTTATTGCTAGCGCTAGTAATAAGTCACGAGTTACAGTAATAGCCAGGTTGTGAATTACAGGGGGGTTTGGGGGATCTTATCCCTCTAATTTAATGCTTGATTTATGAAGATCATAATAAAACGAATAAATGGTGAGGTATGGGGGGTCTGCCTTTTAATAGTTAAGAAATAGTTTGTCTGATCTGTATCTTAAATAAATATTACTATTTAAATAATAGATAATGTTAATATATATTTGAGCACCCATATAATGGTTCATGACAGTCCCCCCCATTCATCAACGTATAATTCGCACCCTACTAATAATAATAGTAAGTGTTTGTTTTAGTGTTGCATCATTAGATTTGGTTTTTGAAAATGACAGTGTGAATGATAAACAAATCAGGACTAAATGTAAAAAAAATGCAAACAAACCCTAAATCTTCTGTTTACCATAGTTCCAAGAACAGATTGTTTTGACTGCAGCTTGTGAAGGTGTTGAGGGAACATTGTCAGCCATTGACATATCAGATGCGCTTGTTACACAGCACGCCGTTGGAGTGTTGGCGCGCGTGTCCAAGCACTCGCACATGAGTCAATCATTTTGTTTACTCGCGGATTTGGATATGAGCATTTTGCTGCGATTGACTCTGTGCCCACAATATCCACCGGTGCTCAAGCAACCACCTTTCCTTCAATATCCAATAGTGCACTCTTCATTTCAAAAACATGCTTACCCCAGCACAACTTGGCACTTGGGTGTATATCGTCAGGCTGCAGTATGAGCTCTTATATGGAGAGTGATTAATGTACAGTCACCGGCCGGGGGGGAAGGGTGATGTGTTCAGAGGAGCCGTAGTAATCGGGGAGTGGGGTCGCCTCACAGGGACGTTAATGATAACAGCCTTGTGTAACCCAGAACCGTCAAAGGGGAGAGTAATGGGTGAGTCGGTTTGCTCAAGTCGAGAAAAGCCAGCGTCAATTTAGCCGTAATTGTAAACACTGCTCTGACACCTTGCGAATGCTAATGGCAAGCTGGGAAATTCTCAGGAGCGCGGTGTGGTCTGAGACTTGAACTCGGTGGTGGATTTGAGAGTAGAAAGTTCCGCTTGACTTGCCTCCATAACTGTTTAATATGGCTGCGGTGCACTGGGGTGAGAGTGAGCGATTCATCTCAGTTCTCTAGGTACTGCTTAGCATTGGTCTCTAAAGCCTGGCCATCCAAACAGAATCAGATATGACTGCTCTTTCATGGCCTGGGCAGTCGGGGTTTGTGCCAGCTGTCCGCTAGTCTTGCAGCTGCCTGCGATGCAATTTGCTGATTCCGTTTAATTACACCGCTAGCTTGTTGTGTTTATTTTCTTTTCATTTATGAAGGTGTTTGTTCGCGCCGGGCTTTTAATTATAGCAAAGTTCAGGTATTATGACAACAGCGGTGCATCCATACCTATTATCCTCTAATCCTCGTCATCACTTTTATTGTACTTCTAAGGATAACGAGCCTATTAAAGGCACGGCCCCTTGAATGAAGTTGAGCGGAGTGGTTATAATTCAACCATCCAACATTTCTAATATCTTTACACAGTAAAAACAGACAGCGTGAGTCCCTTCAGGCGCTCTGCCTCACTAGATGTGATTCATCTTCACTCAGCATGTGAAAAGATTCATCATTTATGCTGACAAAATATAAATGCCAGGGTTGTCACATATTCAGCTGGCCTCGGGAGCATATGAAAGGCACCCGCACGGCCACAGTAAATAGGTATGGTAAGCATTTGTGTTTTACATGATTGGATTCCAGATCCTAAATGGTAAGTTTCGTGCAGCGTGCAACGTTGACTGATGATGCGATCATTTAGTATGGCTCGTTACAGTGGTGGGAAGTCTAGCTCAGGAGAAAATGATGTTTTATGAGCTTTTATTGTGTTACGTCATGTCTTCCGGCGTTTATGCAAACATTTATAGACGTATAAACTCATGCATAAATTCTGTGTTTTCATGCATGGGAGGACACGCTGAAAATAGGAGATTGTAACTGTTGTATGGAGAGCAATTCTCACTTTTGCTTATTAACTATTTGCTTATTAGCTTGAACAATGACTGTTTAGTAGTACTTATAAAGCACATCTTAATGCATTAGTCTGCATGAGCATATTCTACATCTTAAAGGAAAAAGGGAGATTCAAGCAAATTTGTTACAGTGATTGTGTGTACAAAAGCTTACGTCATCAACAAGTGTTGCTGTCATAGTAACTCCATAAAATAAGGTTAAATTTTTTAATAATTGTAATTAGCTAATGGCATTATCACAGAATAAATCCCAATGGAGTATATACAAATCTTGTGTCTATTTCTACATATTTGAAATTTTTTTGGTATCTTCACACAAATATTTGGCAAATAATAATAATAATAATAATAATAATAATAATAATAAGAAGAAGAATATTTCCCAGTGATGGGTTGCAGCTGGAAGGGCATCCGCAACATAAAACATAATTGATAAGTTGATGGTTCATTCCGTTTTGGCGACCCAGATTAATAAAGGGACTGAGCCGAAAAGAAAATGAATGAATTGATGATAATAATAAGAATAATAAACATCTATTTTGCTCATCCAGGTAGCATTTATTTTGTAAACAAAACAAAGATAATAATAATAAAAATAAATATCAAAATCTAATAATATTTTGACTATTTACTGTAACTGTGTAATGGTTAAGCTGTATTTTTAACAACCATTACAGTCAGAAATCATTCTAACATGTTGATTTTTAAGTCAAGAAGAATTTATTAATTTAGAATACAAAATATGCTTAAGCTGGCGTCGCAGTAATGCAGTAGATAGTGCTGTCGCCTCACAGCAAGGAGGTTGCTGGGTCGAGCCTCGGCTGGGTCAGTTGACGTGTTCGTGTGGGTTTCCTCCGGGTGCTCCGATTTCCCCCACAATCCAAAGACATACGGAATATGTATGTGTTTGAATGAGTGTGTATAAATGTTTTC